ACTCAACACTGCTGTAATTTACGAACAAGCAGTGGCCTGGAAGGAAATCAGTTGGGAAGATTTGCAAGCTGGGGCATATTATTTGACCTCTAATTGCAATAGCAATTATATGGAAGCTATCAACTCAGTGTTGCCATTGACGTAGCCGTAACTGTAGAAAGTCGCACTGGATAATATATCACCCCTGCCCAGGGTCGCCACTGACTTTTCGAGAAAAATTCGCCAAACGAGGAGCGAAATGTCGCAAAAGGTCGCCATTTTCCTTCAAATATCGCCAAAAATGTCGCCACTCTACATATATGTGCCTTGCCTGGTAATAAAAATTCCTAATGAGAGTACGGCACTATCTATGAACCATAGGCCCTCCTCTTTCATTGCTCTTGAGGTGCGCTTTCCTGAATATCAAGGGCCTGGCATGCTCCTTCCTTCAGTACAACCTCGCTTTAGAAATGTAGAAAGCTCATCAAAACGAACTGCAGGTACAATGCGAAAGATGTTTCAGTTATTTTGGCATACTGCAACTGGCAATTTAAGAGCAAGCGAGCATCGCATGACATCGAGTCCGAGGCAAGCACTTCTAAGTGCGTCAAACTTCGGCCTATATATGATGTGAAAGTGATGAAGCACATACATGAACAATCTATCATACGATCTGGTACGAAGCTCGCTTTATCTGGCACAATTAGCCTTGGCGATTTTCGTCTTAGCAGTTGCATTCTCCATCAATCTCGCGCTTCCTGTGCGTTAACCGTTTTTTTACGCATGCTAGAATGTTTTCTTGACAGTTGTCATCCATTTCTATATTGACGCAAGATACATTCAAAGTTCGAGCGCCAGTCGTTTGCTACGCCCTCAATGTTGCTTGTGGTGTGCGCGCGTAACAGAGCAAGCGAAACGCCAGTGGGGACTGCCAGGATCGACGCTAAGAACTCAGGCACGTGCGAGCTTCGCAGGATAGGAGAAGAAAATGAGGCATTAAACTTGGAAGAAGTAAAGGTGTTCTGGACATAAACATTTTTCTCTTAACTTGTTTGTTTGTAGGGCACAAGTTCACCCACTTTAGCTATTCTATTAAAGTCTACTTTTTCAACTGTGCGTAAAAAATCTGGTGGAGGTGCGGGGCATGAACCCAAGCTCTTCTGAAGGTGGAGAAGGCAGTAGGTGAGCGGTAATTTGGGCAATTGCAGGGACTTCGAGTTCGACGCACCACGCGAGTTCACAGTGGCACGCGCACATTTTTGTACTGCTCCATTGAAAAAGCACCTCTAGCGCCGTGCAATGTCAGTGCTCTAGTAGAAGTTTTTTTTTTTTTCGTTTTTGCTAACCGTGACTGCGATAGTGACAAGCTACGAAAGCCATGAACTGTAAGGAAGCTTTTTTTTATCGCACTAAAATTATCTGTAATGCTTTTATGCTGCTCGGGGGTACTGCCAGTTTGGCTAGCAGATCAGTGGATACAGAAGACAGTTTTTATTGTATGATAGGTTACTGCAGATAAAAAATCACCATCTTAAAGATCTCAGGGGATGGGGATGACTGTATAGCAGTGTACTAAGAGTTCATTTCGGGGACGCTGCTTTGGCCGACATCGTCGGTTGATCGGCATGAAGCGCAGCACTTATTGAACGCATTAATATATCTTTTTCTAGCCTTCAGCGCACTATAATATGCATTTCTTAGTCGAAGCCAGATGCTTATTTGAATGCTAATCTTGGTCAAGCTGCACGGCACGGCGGCACATAAACAATACAGTCCGACATAGACAGCGCCGAATAATCGAAATGCGGCGCTTGTTTAATGCACTTCTTCTTTTGTGTGCCGTCCTGACGCACAGTTTGACCAAGATAAACGCAAACGGACTCGTCCAGCACTTCGTGTAAACTTACTCTTGAGTAAAGCTGTCGCATTTTTTTACATATATAGGTGGAATGGGCGGCGCTCATATCGTATGGCAGGTAGATTTCGCCCCCGCATTCCCATAATGTCTTTGCTAGGCGCGTCTGCACGAAAATTAATTTCTCAATATAATATTTGCAGCAAATTAATGCATAAGCTTTTTCATTAGTGCGGAATACACACGCACCTCCGATAAAATGGTCTTCGCACACTCTGGCTTCAATGTTTGGTACCCAAAGGCTACCTGCCGCTATGGCTCTTATCACAGCTGCAGCCCACCTCATTTTCTTTTTCTTCATTCCATGGAAATCAATACCTGTGTTTGCCTTTCATGCTCGAGTTGGAGCAGCCAACGGCTGAACAACCGACCATGGTTTATCAGGACGAAGATAAACGGGCGACTGAGCGCACGAATCCCAAATAATCTGAGGCTTGCGGTGGAGCAGTTCGCCGTCGTCTACTCTTCTCGAACTGGGTCACCTATTCGGAGCAAAGGAGACTCTCACCCACCCAGCTGACTACTGTTTACCAACGCAGCAGCCGTCGCCTATGCGGCGAAGACCTTGAGTTTTCCCCCTTTGGAGTGTACAAGAACAGTCGCAGTTCCTAACGAAGACGCTACCGAGATGACTTCAGAGGTCGCACCAACACAAATTGTAATAGACCCGCCGATGACACCCGAACCTTTCCATGGTGACGCGCACGAAGACACAGAGGATTGGCTTGAGCAATTTGAGCGCGTCGCGAGGGTCAATGGCTGGGATGCTACTTGGAAGCTACGACGTATTAGAGAATTCCACACCAATGTGGTTCGAAAACCATGAGGCTGCCATCTCAACCTAGGATGGCTTTTCACGGAAGCTACTTGGCACCTACCCCAGTACCGACTGCAAGGAGAGAGCTGAGACAGCTCTCCAAGCTCGGAACCAGCGGAACAATGAAAGCGTGGCTATGTGAGTAGAGGCCATGACCCGTCTCTTCCGCCAAGCAGATCCTTACATGAGCGGGGACAAAAACTTCGCCATCTAATGCGAGGTGTAAGAGAGAAACTTTTTGCAAGTTTGGTTAGAAATATGCCATCCACTGTCGTGGTGTTTTGTTTTGAGGCGGCCACAATGAAAAGAACGTTTCAGCAACGAGCGAGGATGTACAACCAGGATTCGGGCATTGCTTCTGTTTACGCAGCACCCACTGCCTTGGGAAATAGCATAAACTTTACGTGACCTCGTGAGGTCTGTGGTGCGAGAGGAGCTCGACCATAGCGTTCCAGCTGTGTCGTCACTAGCCGTCGTTCGTGAGGAAGTCAGACTGGCGGTTCGGGATCTCCAGCCCATTCGGGAACGTCAGCAGTATGCCCAGCCAGAAGTGTCACCATCGTTATCGCAGACAGTTTCATATGCTGACACTCTCCTGCAAGGACCCCCCATGCGTAGGACATCGCAGCTGCTTAGGTTAGATTTGAGATTCAGTAGGCAAAAATCAGCAGTCATGATTTTAAATAATAATGAACGGAGTGAGCTTAGGATACAGGAGGTCACGCTATAGAGAATGGATAAATACAAATATCTGAGTGTATGGATAAGCAATGGGACCGAGTTCCTAAGGGAACACGAAATATACGTAAAGACGAAAGGTAACAAGAATGCAGCAGTGATAAAAAATAGGGCACTGTGGAATTACAATAAGTATGATGTGAGAGGAATATGGCAAGGGGTCATGGTTCCTGGTCTGATGTTCGGCAATGCGGTCTTGTGTATGAGATCGGAGGTTCAAGCAAGATTAGAAATTAAGCAACGTGCAATAGGTAGGCTTGCTTTAGGAGTTCACGGGAATACACCAAATCAGGGAGTACAAGGCGATATGGAATGGTCATCATTTGAGGGCAGGGAAGCTAGCAGGAAGATAAAATTTGAGGAGCGATTGAGGGAAATGGGGGAAGAGCATTGGGCTAGGAAGGTTTTCAGCTACTAGCACATGAGGAATGCCGATACAAAATAGAGGAAGCGAACCAAAAAATTGACAGGTAAATACTTAGGAAAGAGCAGGGAGCCAAACCAAAAAGAACTATCGGTTAAGAAGAAGGTGAAGGAAATGGAGACCGACATGTGATGTGGAGAATAGACATGATTAAGAAGTCAGCACTAAAATCTATCGAACTTTTAAGTAGGACATTTCCAAGGAAAGAATCTATGATAATACTCGGGGTAGTTGTCTACTGTTTGAGGCCAGCACGGGAGTACTGCGAACCAAGACATATCGGACCAAATACGAAGGGGTAGACACGGTATGTAGCGCGTGCGGAGATGAGGAGGAAGCTGCCAAACACTTGATAATGTTCTGTAAAGGGCTTCATCGAGCGTTCAGGATGATGGCGCAGAGTTTTTCAAAGCACTGAGGTTTAGGGACAGGGAGGGCGAAATAGAGTTTAAGCGGGTAGAAATAACTAGGAGGAGATTATCTGATTGGTGGCTACAATCAAAGCACGAGTGAAAATTAAATCCTTCATTACAAAGTATCAGCCCTCAACTTCACTATTTAAAGAGAGAAAAAAAAACATAAATCTAGCTGCTGGTTCACTAAGTATTACGGCTAGGTGGCGTTAGCCACCGCCCGATCTTTAGGGTACAGCCATATCAATCCATCCATACTAGGCGGAGCCAACGCACTGTCATGTCACTCGGCGCCTACCGTGTTTACAAAGATAAAGTAGGTCCAGCTGCTGTCATTGTCTGGTGTAATTGTGACGTCAAAAACGGTCTCGATGTACACCTCATGCACGAAGCAGCTATCCATTCTCTGTGACAACTGCAGATGCATAATTTTTCTGAACGTTATTTGCTGCACAACAAGCTTGATTTTCCATATCTTGTCGGTGAAATAATGTTTTAGCAAGTAGCTAGCAGTAGTGCTGTTATTCAAGGATATTCGATCAGTATTTGACTCAATGCGCACTTAATTTTCAGTATTACTATTCGCTTCCAAGGTAAAAACTTGAATTTGGTACATCCTAGGAATTATAAGACATTGCAGTTACAAGCCGGTGCGCGCTTCATTAAGGTTCACCAAATTCCCGGCGGCGTAAACAACGTAATTGACGAGCATACCATTTCAATTATGAACTCGATGACGAGGTCTTCCAAGAGGTCCACAGACTCTGTGTACGGATTCTGGTCATCTCCAAAGCCATACATCATGCACCGCACTGCAATCGCGAGAAGAAAAAATGAAAATCATCGACCACGCTTTGTCCTATGGCTATAATACTCACGTTCTTTCGAAAACAGTCTTTTGCGTCGGTCCCCAACTTGCACTTCAGCTCCTTCCGTGAGGTCATCGTCAAACTAAAACCACGATTATATGAGTATTAGTACAGAAGCACCATGTAAGGTGGTCTTTTACCTGGTCAAAAGCGTCATCACTCGCTGCCATGACGCAGCAGCTCACTTCTGCGGAGCTAGCGGCTTTACGCAAAAACTGTAAAGGCTCTACAAATGAAATTTCGATCTACGGAGCCTTTGCGCGACCATCGAAACGGCGAACGCTTACGCCAGTCCAACGAGGATGACGAGTAGGCATTGTAAGCATCTAATAACAGCCTCCAATAAAGTCCCCAGATTGTATCTTGAAACTAGGGGCCACGACCCACTCTACTCTTAGCCTGCCCAGAGAACCCCCCTCAAGCGCCCCCGTTCTAGTTCGTACATTTTGCCGCTAGGGCTGTGACATGCGAGCGGCATGGCGCTAGTCAACACTTGTTTGTTGACGTCACCTTTAGTGTTTGTGGTCAAATTTCGGCCAACAAAGCGCTCACAGTGCGTATTTATTATGCACAATTTAAATTTATTTAGTATTATAATACTAGAAGTCATTCAAAACTTTTTTTGGATTCAAATGAATGCGACAACACACAAACTGTCCTACACAGATGCAGATTTCTTCGTACCTTCTCATCATTCGTGTCTAGCACATAATTTCATAGCCCTTGAAGTACTGTATGACACGCCAATCTACTGAATTCGAGCTCCATAAAAACTCTTGTGAAAGATCGAAAATAATTCAGAAAGGGTGTGTCTTATACTGATTTCTCCTCTCTTGACTCTTTCTTCGTTGGTTGAGCGTCTACAATAATCAGAATAACTGAGCCGATTTATTGGAAGTTAGCTGTGCTCAGAAAGCTGTGAGATTAAAGAACAAATACTGTCAAACGAATGCAGAACTAGGAAGCCATAAAAAAAATTCGGCAGATCCCATGTGCCTATAGCAATCGTCGTTATGCGAAGCGTACGGAGGTGATCGGGTCGCAAATTTTTTATAGAGCGACACGTCATGAAATTACGCTAAATGTATGTACAAATGTTGTACACACAGACATATGTTGAAGATTTGCAGATGTTTATATAACCAGTTGTTTGCACTTGCGCAACGATGCGAACTGGAACATGCATATTAGCAATGCCAAAAGCTGATATAAATTAGCGCTAATATTTGCTCGCGAGGATGCTGGTCCTGGACACTGCTACATAAATGAACTTTATGCAGCGCATGACAACTAACCACAATTGACGTTAACCTGACGTGACGGACATATATAATGTTTATAAAATTGGGTAGGCAGCACTGCAAACGCTATTGACGTTTCGCGAAGATTAGCGTCTATTTGAAAAATAGTTCCGAAACCTGGCGTAACTCTGTGGTAGAACGCTTCATTGCCTTTCGGAATGCCTGGGTTCGATTCCAGCTGAGACCCCGGCATTTATTCTTTTCAATCGTCGGGTTGACGCTACCGAAGTCAGGTGTTTCTTAACGCTCGCACTTTAAAATCGCCGATGTGTGTTCTCGTCGTTTCTGGGTATATACGTGTCTATCACCTGTGGCACGAACCCACATACGAGCGGCACATACCCGCCGGTTGGTATGTGCCCATATATGCCACACTGTAGTCTGGCGGGAAGTGTTTCACGACGCACGCGACGGGATTGTGATATTACTCATGTCTCGACCAGCGCTTCATATTCGCAGAACCATATATTTTACCCTTTCATGCTAATTTTGGTTCACGCCAAGTTAAGGGGGTTACCACAAGAACACCCAAACGTAAGCAGCTATAGATAGATATAGATACGCTCAAAGTCACTGAAGTTCGCTAAGAAATGCTTTGCATTTAAAAGGGGAGAGGAAGGGAATCTGAACCTCTTACACCACGAAATGTTTTCGTAATTTAACTTTTCAGGGTATACTAAAATATTTACGCGCATTTGCAGCCACCGTGAATGCGCGTAAAAAGAAATACTGGGGAGCCCTGCGCCAATAGTTTACAGTTGGTGAAGCTGAATATATAGCGTGTCTCTACAAATGCGCACTGTATATTTCACCTTTTCGACAGTATGATGTCTCAAAACTAGTTCAAGTCTAATGTAGTCGGACGAGAAATGCACCACCTAAAAATAGTAGCTGTGCTAAGGGGCATTGAAAATACACGCGCACACACACACACACACACACACACACACACACACACACACACACACACACACACACACACACACACACACACACACACACACACACACACACACACACACACACACGCACACACACACACACTATATGCACTTAATAATAGAGCTACGCTTATAATACAGAACATCGTCATAAATTTGCTCGCTTGCAAAGGCGTTACGCCAATAGAATATTTAGAAAGCAGCACAACTTCAGCTGTCGATACAAAATGAGAACAGGCTACAATGAATTTACGCAGATTAACAGACGGGCTATATATACAATTGGCACTTTTTAATATATTTGTGTGTTGGTTTTAATAAGTTTAATTTGTAATAAGCCTTTTGGAAAATTATTATCTTCGACAAAACTGGCATGATAAAACAGAGTCGTCACTGATTAATGTTGTGACAACGTTACTTATACTCGGGTTTCTCGTGAAACGATCGAGCGCACGTAGGCTCACATGAGGAACTCTGTGCTGTGGATAGCGTATACAGACTGCCGACAAAACAAGCGTATGATTTAATTATGGTTTTGATACTTCTTCTCTCTTTGCAGTTCGCCAGTAGCCACTAATGATGTAACGTAGCTCTGAGCGATGATTGAGTAAGAAGCTAGGCGGATCCGTGCAAATTCCGATTGACGTTCTTTTTTTTTTTTTTCTGGGTCGGCAGGCCCTTGAAATAGTGAATGTATTGACGCAGTTTCGGCGTGCCTGTATATTCATTCATGCATCATGGCACGTAGCAGGTGCGTCCTCTGATAGAGGCTCAGAAACGCATTAAACGCGCTAAAAACGAGCAATTACACATTTTCGCAGGCTCGGGCGCGCACGCTGCCAATGCAGACGCTTTTGAGATCTTCAGTACCATGGGACTACAGCGCCGCCGTTACTGTCACCCGCCGGATAGTCAGCCGAGATGCAGCGCGACCGCCTCGTTCACTCTACTGCCCCGTAACACCGAAAGTTGGGCGAGTTGGTGATTGTTCATGATTACAAATAAGCAGCGCACGACGTTTTACACAAAGAGAGACGATAGGGACACCGCTGCACTCTCAACTAGTTTATTTCGTAAACGACCTTGGTTATTATACAACAAGACGGTGTACCATACGTGCTACAATGACAACGTATTTTCTAAAAAGCCAACTTCGCAATCGCTCAAAGTAATCGATGCTTGGCTTATACAGTAATCTTTTCTTTTTGCGATGTGGAAGGCCTCGATCACTTCCCTTGTCATCTTATCTCTGTGGCTGGAAAGAATTTTAGTCTCAGAGAACAGCGGGGAACAGCCACATTCTAAGCAATGCCGTCTTAAGTGCGAGTAAGCATTATTAGCTAATGCTCTCTTGTGCTCCGTTAACCTTGTATTTATGCACCGGCCTGTTTGACCGATGTACATTTTCCCACATGACATGAGCAAACAGTAAACCACCGCGGTTCTGCACTCAACAAACAAAACACTGTGCTTAACAGAGCACCGACACCTATCCTTTTTTGTCAATCGCTTCCTATCTAGCCTAGCGCATATCTTTCCTAGTTTGTTAGGTGCAGAAAAAACAACTTGTAAGCCATACCGGCTGCCTACATTCTTTAGATTATGTGATATACTGTGCGCATAGGGTATGGAGACACATTTCTTTTTCCTTTCTTCATAATTCCTCTCAATTTGAGGCTGCTCCGAAGATATATTCTTGCGCACACGATGAACCAACTTCTGTGCGGTTCTGCGCAGAACATGCTCTTCGTAACCCGCACTAGCCAATCTATCTACTTGTCTGATGAAGCTATCATTAACTTGGTGGGGACAAGATTTGGCCAAGGCAGCGCGGAGACAAGAGAATGCTATGCCATTCTTAACTGTCTTTGAATGCCCGGAAGAATAGCTAAGCAGGGGCTTCTCAGATCGTGGGCTATATAACCAGCAAACATGGTCTGGCTTACGTGATAACAACAAGTCCAAAAACTGAAGCTGACTTTCCCGTGGCACTTCCCACGTAAACTCGAGGCCCTCGCTGCAGTCCCTGAAAACATTTAAGATATCTACTATAGCCCTGTCAAGTACAGTGTGTTCTACAAAAATTAGGTAATCGTCAACGTATCTAAATATGGTCTTTGCAAGGCCCTTTATGTTGGCTTCAATTTTTTTTGTTCACGTAACCCAAGAAAATGTTGCTAAGTATCGGGGCCACCTTCGAACCAATGCATATTCCCGATCTTTGTAGGTACAACTCATCATGCCATTTGATGAAAGTAGACCTTAAGTAAAAAGACAATAATTCGAGGAAAGCTCCAACTGAAATGCCGCATTTGTTAACAAATTCGATTTCATCATTATCATCTGTAATGCACTTTCTAACAACTGTCAATAAAGGACCATGTGGAATGTTGTAGTACAAATCCTGAACATCAACACTAAAAAAATTGCAAGTACCAGGGTTTGAGGTTGTCAAGAAGGCAACCAACGCCTCCGAGTTCGGTACACAGAAGGGATCTGATACCTTAAGGCTAACTAGCTGCTCTTGAAGAAAGGTAGAAAGATTAAGTTGCCATGAGTCCCTTTCCGATACAATACACCTAAACGGAACGTCAGGCTTGTGAGTTTTTGCTGCAAAAAACAACTCCAGGTGCAAATTTGTCGCACGTTTCACAGTAGAAGCAAGCTTTTCCAGATTGTGGTTCAAAAGTAGCGCGACAGCTTCCTCCTTGACTTTGCTAGCTTTCTTGTTAACAGGAACAAAATTCTTTTTAACTGCCGATAACGCCTTTGTTTGGAAAAGCCCATCAGGTAAAATAACAAAGCAACCCTCCTTGTCAGAGGTCAGAAAACGCAAATTGTTGCTAATGCCAAAGTCCACCAAAGTTAGCAACATTAGCATTAGCAACAATTTGCGTTTTCTGACCTCTGACAAGGAGGGTTGCTTTGTTATTTTACCTGATGGGCTTTTCCAAACAAAGGCGTTATCGGCAGTTAAAAAGAATTTTGTTCCTGTTAACAAGAAAGCTAGCAAAGTCAAGGAGGAAGCTGTCGCGCTACTTTTGAACCACAATCTGGAAAAGCTTGCTTCTACTGTGAAACGTGCGACAAATTTGCACCTGGAGTTGTTTTTTGCAGCAAAAACTCACAAGCCTGACGTTCCGTTTAGGTGTATTGTATCGGAAAGGGACTCATGGCAACTTAATCTTTCTACCTTTCTTCAAGAGCAGCTAGTTAGCCTTAAGGTATCAGATCCCTTCTGTGTACCGAACTCGGAGGCGTTGGTTGCCTTCTTGACAACCTCAAACCCTGGTACTTGCAATTTTTTTAGTGTTGATGTTCAGGATTTGTACTACAACATTCCACATGGTCCTTTATTGACAGTTGTTAGAAAGTGCATTACAGATGATAATGATGAAATCGAATTTGTTAACAAATGCGGCATTTCAGTTGGAGCTTTCCTCGAATTATTGTCTTTTTACTTAAGGTCTACTTTCATCAAATGGCATGATGAGTTGTACCTACAAAGATCGGGAATATGCATTGGTTCGAAGGTGGCCCCGATACTTAGCAACATTTTCTTGGGTTACGTGAACAAAAAAATTGAAGCCAACATAAAGGGCCTTGCAAAGACCATATTTAGATACGTTGACGATTACCTAATTTTTGTAGAACACACTGTACTTGACAGGGCTATAGTAGATATCTTAAATGTTTTCAGGGACTGCAGCGAGGGCCTCGAGTTTACGTGGGAAGTGCCACGGGAAAGTCAGCTTCAGTTTTTGGACTTGTTGTTATCACGTAAGCCAGACCATGTTTGCTGGTTATATAGCCCACGATCTGAGAAGCCCCTGCTTAGCTATTCTTCCGGGCATTCAAAGACAGTTAAGAATGGCATAGCATTCTCTTGTCTCCGCGCTGCCTTGGCCAAATCTTGTCCCCACCAAGTTAATGATAGCTTCATCAGACAAGTAGATAGATTGGCTAGTGCGGGTTACGAAGAGCATGTTCTGCGCAGAACCGCACAGAAGTTGGTTCATCGTGTGCGCAAGAATATATCTTCGGAGCAGCCTCAAATTGAGAGGAATTATGAAGAAAGGAAAAAGAAATGTGTCTCCATACCCTATGCGCACAGTATATCACATAATCTAAAGAATGTAGGCAGCCGGTATGGCTTACAAGTTGTTTTTTCTGCACCTAACAAACTAGGAAAGATATGCGCTAGGCTAGATAGGAAGCGATTGACAAAAAAGGATAGGTGTCGGTGCTCTGTTAAGCACAGTGTTTTGTTTGTTGAGTGCAGAACCGCGGTGGTTTACTGTTTGCTCATGTCATGTGGGAAAATGTACATCGGTCAAACAGGCCGGTGCATAAATACAAGGTTAACGGAGCACAAGAGAGCATTAGCTAATAATGCTTACTCGCACTTAAGACGGCATTGCTTAGAATGTGGCTGTTCCCCGCTGTTCTCTGAGACTAAAATTCTTTCCAGCCACAGAGATAAGATGACAAGGGAAGTGATCGAGGCCTTCCACATCGCAAAAAGAAAAGATTACTGTATAAGCCAAGCATCGATTACTTTGAGCGATTGCGAAGTTGGCTTTTTAGAAAATACGTTGTCATTGTAGCACGTGGTACACCGTCTTGTTGTATAATAACCAAGGTCGTTTACGAAATAAACTAGTTGAGAGTGCAGCGGTGTCCCTATCGTCTCTCTTTGTGTAAAACGTCGTGCGCTGCTTATTTGTAATCATGAATCTACTGCCCCCTTCTAGTACACTGTACTACGGGTTTCCACGTTTTTCAACTAGTGTGCTATAAATACTTAAGCACACTGAACAGCTTACTTGACCAGCGATCCGAGCGAAGAAATACTCACACATGTGCCGGCAGTTCACCACAGAATGCAGGCATCCTTGTTACAGCGCTGTCAAAACAACCGTAAAATAGCAGACGAACAGGTTATAGGTAGCGCCAGTAATGGTGAGCGGTTGAACGAGAGCGGGGACACGCGCTTTCATAGGAACCCTGCTCTCTGGTCAGGTCAAGAGTACAAGTAGGTCGTGCTAGGGGCTTTGCACGAATTGAAACCAAAACACAATGCCACAAACGGCACAGTTTCGTATCTCCTTACGTAAAACACCTAAAAAACATTGTAGGGTTGCGTAGGATTTTAATAGTCATATATACAAAAACAAAAATTTGTGTGTTTTTTTATTATTCAGCGCAAAGGCTACGCAGAGGCGACCGAACGGGACGGCTTAGTGGCCGAAGGGGTCGTGGTTGGGGACTGAGGTGGTTGGGCGTGTGTGCGCCACACTTGAGATGTCAAGCGACGTTTTTGTTTTGACTCGATGAGCGTCATCCCGCCGATGTGTGAAATGTTGGAGCCGCGGCTGTCGTGTGGGTGTCTGGCCCGTCGTTCCTGAGAAGCACCCGGGGCACGATGCCCGGCATAATGATGAGCGTGGACGAGTTCGTCTCCGAAACACTGGAGGACTACAACTCGCCCACCACGTCCACTTTCGTCGGCAAAATGAACCACTGCCGCCAGAGTGTTAATCTACTCGAAGAGGTGAGCAATCCTGTCGTCACGGCGCACATTTCGCGACCTTTCTCCACTTTTGATGTTCGTGATCTCGCTGATTTAGCGACTCGTATTTCATTGTTATGCCCAGAGATTTGTAGTCTGTACCGACACCTAATACTTTAAAGTAGCAAAAATTATTGTCATATCTTGCCAATCACTCTCTACAGCGCATTTTCCGTGCGTCAGTTCAGAGGCGGTGGTGTGAACGCAACTTGTGGTGACAAGAGCCAGATAAATTGCTCCTTGGCAAAGCTGAACCTTCTACGTAGTTCTGAATTGACTTCAGGGTGACTTAATCGGTCACTTTAAAGATTCGACGGGTTGTTTGACGTGCCTTCCTTCAGGACCAAAGGCAAGAGTTCTTTTTCCCAAATGAGTACAATCAAAACCTACTTGCGCACACTTTTGGCTACTATGATTTGATTATTTTCATGTTCAAATGGAACACGACTGACTGCAGAAAAATTGAATATTTAGTTACATATTAACCACATTCAAAGACTACACATTGCCTAATTTTCTCTCGAGGAAGGCAATATTGAGTGCCTTGAAATTATGCTAAGTATGACACATTTGTTGACAGTGCATAATAATTTGCGCTTGAAGGGGGTATCCAAAAGCACTTGGAACGTAGTAAATGTCATTAATCACATGCTTCACTTGGATGTTGGAAATTTGTTGATAATACTGTTTTCAGAGAAAGCAGAAACAATAGTATTAATGCATTGTGCAGACGCTGGATTTTGATCGAGACGGGCTGACGAAAATGAAAAAAGCTGTGAAAGCAGTCTACAACAGTGGAAATGGTAAGTGCATATTTCTCATCGTTTATGTGATTTTTGGCAATTCTTCACATTACACATCACTCGTTCACAATTCACATGCTACGTTCTTCATTGTGTCTCACCAATGAGCCCTTAAACTTACATTTCTTTCCTTCAGTCTCTGCAGAAGTATGTTGAAAAGCTTGTCATGAACATATAACAGGGATGTGCACTCCGGCGTGAATGCAGAAGCAGACCCATTCTGGCATGTGTAATAATCCTTTACTTGGTCACTGTTCCGTTTCTTGCTATGCATGTGACATACAGAAAGGTTTTGCAATTCTAGACCTCATAACTAGGCTTGCTCAAAGCTATCCAGCACTTACAAAAGTTCTGTTCCTTACAGTGTGTTGAAGGAGTACATTTGGAGGTGGGGGGTGGGGGGAAGTATTTTATTGGCTAAGTTCGGGTGTGCCTTGAAAGCCCTTAAAATTGAAATAATATATATGTACGGGGCCTTTACAACTTTAGGACCTTTCTTTTCTTCAAGACCCTTGAGTGCCTTGATATATGCAATCTAATAATCACTGCCAGATCTTTCTTCTGTATATATGGTGCTTTCTATGTTAGATGTAATCACCCACTTTGTAAACTCTCCATTTTAGAAGCAGTGCACCAGCAGGAGTGCACACGTCCTGCATGGAAGTTGAAGTGTCGTGCTCTATCAGAACTTTTTTATGGCGTTGTTTGTACTGCCTTCATTTGTTTCGTTTCATCAGCTTTCTCCCATATTTGTTCTCTCAACAAGATATCACCTCCAGCGCTTGGTTTTCTCTTTTTGTGGTGCATGCTGATGCTCAGTTTTATGTATGAATGTAATCAACAGCTCAGTGCATACCTATTGTTTTCATGCAATAAAAAGAAATGCTCTGTGAAAGCTGGATGCTAAAACTAAAAGTTCTAATTAAGGAGAGGTGCAATTCGAAAAAAAATTTATTCTGTAGCTTTAGACAATGAAATATTCTGCTGTATGAATAGGCATTTATGCTGATTTCAAATATCTGACTAGTTTTATAGTAAGTATCACAGTTTTCATTTTGTGCCATGACCATTTGTAAGATGTAGTTCATTTCGGACAAGGTTTTTATGCCACTCAGCTTTTATAGTTCTAAGCCATTAATGGCTCATGTTGTTCTACATTAGTTGTAGAATGTAAATAACTAACTCAAACCTCATTATAACAAAGTTTCATTTTACACAAAACTAAGTTCATTACATCCGAAAATTCATTATAAAGGTTTACTCCTAAAACTCTATCTATTGCAAGACTATTTTTTTATTTACTTCGTTATAACCATTATTTCATTATATTTGGTTTCATTATATTGAGGTTTGAGTGCATCAAGAAAGTAAAAAAAATTGTAATGTGAGAATATTTAGAATCCTCAACCCATACTGATTGCTTGCTTTGGGTTTGTAATAATTGTACAGGCGATAATAAGTTTGAAAGAAGCTATTTGCACCCTTCACATAATAAAAATGTGTGGTCAACATTTAATCCTTAATCATTAATATAGATGTACCAATCTATGTAAACTCGAGAAGTTCCCCAAACATGGATCTTGAGAAAAATGCATTTAAAAGGTATAAGCGAAAGCTCATGTATGCGGCAAATATTAAAATATCTTCTTCCATCATAAGAGCTTGGCAATCATCATTATTTTGAGCATGTAGCTTTAGAGAACTCCTCGTGTAAAATTCATTGCTGGTAGCCAGGTCACAATTTCCACGGCACTCCAGACAAAGAGCTCTTTTTAGTTTTCAGTAGCCACCTTGTGCTCTTTAAAAGCAATTTTACCCTACTTCGAGTTTAATTACAGGCGTCTGTTTTTTTTTGTTATGAAAGCAGAGAAAATAAACCTGTGAAAGCAAATAAAAATGAAAAATACGTAATCTTGGAAAAGCTTGTGTTTCTCGATTTGTGTCTCTTCTTAAAGCTGCTGACGCTTAGCTATTGGCTCCCACTCGGTGTTCTTATTGCTCTTTTTGTGCAGTGAGTGGCTGGCTGTGCTGCAGTAGTCCAATTTATATACAATCAAATTTGTGTCAGAGCTTTAAAATAGGATTGGTTTGTCGACTTCACGCAGCATGAACAAGTGTTCAAAGATCTAACTGTCAGCATGTGGAGGAAAGAAAAAAAATCGCCTTGAAGTCTTGCAGATTGCTACTTTGAAGAAGTGGAAGATTATAAGACATCACCTTCGTAGCAAAACCAAATGGTTTAATGATAGTAACATTGAAAAGTGAAATAGGAGAACATTACCTTAATAACACAATACATTTACCAGCAGCTCCATTAATGTTGTTAAGTTTTGGGCACGTCCAGAGCTGGATATTATTTGCAAGGTAATTTTTTGAAATTTTGCATGAATTAAAACAGTGTTTTGAACTTTCTCTGCGATTTCGAACTTCATTACCTGTACGAACATTGCTGGTTATCATGTCTCACTAAATATTGCTGCTTCTTATTTACTATTAAACAGCTCATGTTGACAATGAAGTCCACCTTTCCAAGGCTCTTGAAAGGCTGGGTGCCAATGCAGTCACAAAGGACCAAGAGCATGACATTGGTATGTTCTTTCCTCATCCTTTCAGATATTGAATTGTAAAGAAGCTGTGCATATAGGTCAGCTTTCTCGCCTCAATCACTGCGCAGCGAAAGCCATTAAAAAGTGAAAGCTTATCATCAGAGTGCTGTTAGTTCTTACGGAGCCAACAGGTGAAATACTCCTATGGACTGAGGAGTTGGTACCGTCACAAAAGCAAGGAGTTAGGACTAGCGTTTGACTCGTTTTATTTCAGTATTGAGACTTCTTACAAAAACCTTTTGCTTCCATTCTTTGATGAGACCTTAGGCATCTGTTTGGGGAACATAAATGCATAGAAAAACAACGAGATGCACTGCACCACAGGTAGTGAAAATACATCAAAAACCTTAAGAAAAGTGAACAGCATGAAAGTAAATTGGCAATTTATGTTTTAGATTTGTTGCACACAATATTAATGAGAACAAATAGATGCCAATGAAAGTATAGGGGATGTTATTAGTAGTAAATGTGGAAGACAAGATAACTTGCCATTGACAGAGACTGAACTTGTGATCCTTCCTCTACCAAAGGAGCTATGGCCGTGGCCATCCACATTATGGGGTATATACATGCATTTAAGCCTAGTAGCGCCGCTAGTAGCAATACTTTTGCTGCCCATTGATGTGACATGTTGTCTCGGGGTTTCTTTTTTTGGAATTGCCCTACCTGCATTGTGTGCTGTGAATTTATTGATTGGTGACATTTAAAGCTGCGATATTTTGTAATACATGTAAGGCAACTGGCAAGTGGAATCATTTTGAGCTTGTTGCTGCAGTTAGCGTCGGGCTCCCACGACTTAAAACACGAAGACATTACTGGAGTTCACACTTGTTGGTGATACTTCTGGAAGACTTTTAAAGCGAAAGCTGTTATGGTTCCACAATATGACAATAACAGCTCATTTTGGAGTCGTAGATGTCCGCTGCAGCCACGGCTGGTGTCTGTAACGGTTATAATGGGAAATTAGAAAAAATGTTCATAGTCAAGCAAGATTTGAACCCGGGCTATCTGTGGGGCAGGTGACTATACTACCACACAGCCACATGCGTGAAATTCCCTCCCAAAAAATATTTTTTACTGGTATCATTTTAAGCAACCTACTTATTAATTGTTAATTTTATAACTTGATTCTTGTAGTTCATGAACTGTGACATTCCTAATAAGCGTCCAGTGATTGTCATTTGCCATACTTATACTGCTTGTTGTAGTTGGCTCCATTTTTAACATTTGAGTGTAAGACTCGGCAGTAAGTTGAATGACTACGGAATGATAAAATCAAAGCTTCAACAGACGCACTTCTGGTCGAGAGGAATCGTTGAATAAAAAGGCAAGAACGCTGGCCGCAGCAGAATAAAAGATATAATGACGTTCTGGGTGCCTGTTGCTGTTGTAGTTCTTGCCTTTTTATTCAACTGCAGAATGAATTGCACAAACAAGACTACATGCAGAGCACTCTGTCATCGCTTCCTTTCGTTGTTGATCATGAACGTCACAAGTGGTCAGCCATTCCAGCACTGAATGAATGAGCATTGCTTTATTGCCACAGTGCTTGCACAATCTTTATTTGTAGTCATAGCTACAGATGCCCCGTGTACTGTGGGATGTCAGTGCATGTTGGTGGTCATAATATTCCTCCACTATATCATGCTTCATAATCATTTTGGCACATAAAATGCTAATCATTAAAAGGAAAGCATAAATAAAAAGAGCCACTCCTGTAATCAAGTCAAAGTTGCATTCCTTAGCTATTCTTTTAGACACTGACTTGCCTCTTCTTCTTAGGTGCTGCGTTCCTCAAATTTTCAGTGGTGACAAAAGAACTCTCAGCACTTATGAAAACTCTGGTAAGTTCTGAAATGCATTTTTCTTTCAAACTGGTGATGATCACAAGAGCTGTGTTGTGTGTATTGTGAACATGATGGAAGTGATACAATGGGATTTAATGTGGCTGTATATTGCTATGGGTGAAAAATTAGCTAGTACAGGTATGCAAAAGCCACTCCAATTGCACCAATTTAATGTAATTTCTCATTGTTGCACTGAACTGCACCAAAACCAAGAAATTTGTTGAAATTGTGCCACACTGCGCCAAAATGCCTAGCCAGCCTCAAAATGTTTCCATGTGCGCTAATTTCTGCAAGAAATGCAGGCCATGTCAGCCACCTGCAATTTGCACCATCCATCATAGCATGCAGACATCGACTTTGGTGCCTAGAATGTACTTGAAATATGACAAGATAAAGTAACAACGCTGAGCGCCCATCGGTCCGTTGACCACAGCAGATACCAATCAATGGGACAACGAAACTTTAAGACAAAATGCATTGCTGTAGCCACCAATGCTTCGCGAGAAATGTAAATTTGCTAGCCTGAAAATGCGGCTATGGCTTGTTAGAAGCTAGAAGCGTATGCCGCGTTTTTTTTTTTTTTTTTTCTGGTAAACAAGCCAAGCTTGACGTGCTCGGAACGCCGACTTTGCCAGCGATCACGTCGATTGCCTTAACAAAAGTGCATGTTTTTTTTTTTGTTTGTTTTGAACTTGCATCGTCCTGACCACAGTCATGGCGATATATATTTGGTACCATCGTTAAGCCAACGGGCGCAAGCCCTTGTTACTTTACCTGGTCGAACGCGCTTTGCAAGGGAGCCGAAGCGGCACATAACCCCCTCTTCCTCACCCCCGCTGAAAGAAGAAAAAAGATGGCTGGAGGTGTAGTGGTTAGAAAATTTCTTGGCTTTGATTCCAACCAGTGCAGAGAATGCTACTCAAGCTACCTTCGCCGCAGTACACCGGTGCCCAGCAGAAAAATGTATCGAGATTTGGAAGGGACTTTCACGGGACACTGCACATTTTGCTAGGTTACTCATGCGTTTGTACGCCACATAATTCTTAGTACCAGTATAATAGCTGACGTCTAAATAAGCTACTGGCAATCATGTGGAGCAGTTTATGGCATATCTGCTTCCCTAAAAGAACTAACTAAATCGTGCACCTCTACTCTTCGGTTTTACGAATCTCCCAAATTTCAAGGTCTGGAGCTTGGTAAATCCATATTTAAATTAGCAGAGTCTGTGAAATGATTTGACAGATTCAGCAAATGCTAATATGGACTTCATCTTTGTTAGCTCAGTGGGGTGGTTCAAAATACTACTTTCATTGAAAAAGCAGTGCTCATGTTCATACTGCACGATTTAGGTGATGTTGGATGGCTTATATATATTTTTCTTTTTTCAAAATGTAAGCATTCTTGCCTAACCTGCTCCAAAGTTAGATTTTAGTGTTCCAAAAGTAACATTTTACTGTTCCAAAAATTTCTCCAAATTTAGTGATCCCCCTCCTGCGCCAACTGCGCAGGAGTGGGGCCACCAAAATCACAATCACGTAGTCACAACCACATATCAATGACGGGCCATCAGTCACACTCGTGTACCTATTTTTTTTTGTTCGCTGAATAAACAGCGGTCGCACCTGCGTCCTAAAATTCACGATGTTATGTTTGGTGCCGATGCAACTCTGCTGTGCATGTCCGCTTAACGGCAAAACTGGTTCTCCGCGGGGGTCCATAGACATCTAGTCCAATAGGTAGCATGAAACTGGGACAGCGATTCACCGGCGGACATTGTCTGTTCCTGGAATGCTGCTGATAGTTTGTTTGAAGAGATGCGCGGCATGTAATATAAACAATTTTCACTGATAACTGCACGCCTGCCGCTAGAATGTTTGTCACGTCTATGTCTGGACATCGCGATCTGATTTTCCGTGCTTTGCATGCGGGAAAGAACATGTAAATGGTGGGAACGCGTTGACACTTTTCCTCTAACATACTTTGTTTGTAGAGAATCATACAGAAACCTTGCTGCATTGTTCTAGTGGCTAAGGTACTCAGAAATGTTGTAGGCCCGTGTGCTCAGATTTGGGTGCAAGTTAAAGAACCCCAGGTGGTAGAAATTTCCGGAGCCCTCCTTTATGGTGTCTCCCATAATCATGTAGTGGTTTTGGGATGCTAAACCCCACATATAATCAGATTTGGGTGCAAGTTAAAGAACCCCAGGTGGTAGAAATTTCCGGAGCCCTCCTTTACGGTGTCTCCCATAATCATATAGTGGTTTTGGGACGCTAAACCCCAGATATCAATCAGAAGAACTGTTTTGCATTTCTTTCAACCAGCACATTTGTGTTTGTAATTGCTGTGACGGTAAAAGCCGCTAAAAGAACCTGCCCTTTTTTCTAGAATGCGGATTGAAAATTCTCGCGTGCTTTCTCTTTAAATGTCACCTCATTTATAAAAGCATGCCTCCTGGTCGGAGCAGTCGCAATTCGGTTTTAATATGTGCAGCTATAGTGAGGCCATCGCCGGCGGCTTTGGTGTCGGAGCCCCGCCGCGGTAGTCTAGTGGCTAAGGTACTCGGCTGCTGACCCGCAGGTCGCAAGATCGAATGCCGGCTGCGTCGGCTGCATTTTCGATGGAAGCGGAAATGTTGTAGGCCCGTGTGCTCAGATTTGGGTGCACGTTAAAAGAACCCCAGGTGGTCAAAATTTTCGGAGCCCTCCACTACAGCGTCTCTCATAATTATATGGTGGTTTTGGGACGTTAAACCCAACATATCAATCAATCAATCAATCAATCAATCAATCAATCAATCAATCAATATGGTGTCGGAAAACCTTTGAAGCGGCTACGCCTTGTTACACGGTCACCTCTTGCTTTCCAGGGTCAATAGCTGACAGTTAAAAAATATTAACATTACGGCATCGCATTTATTGCTTCGTTTTGAAGGGAGGGGTGGAGGGGAGGCTGCTGCATCGCTTAAAGTAGCTGGCGCGCTCTATCTTGAGGCATGCTCGTGAACTTTCTGTGCTACTAACATCTGCTTCGCTACCTGACTATAACTGATTGCATGAAACCTTCAGCAACTGGAGTGATAATTGTTCGTTTAGCCAGCGTCCTTTTTAGTTAGAGGATGTTAGATCTAAAATATATTATTTCTTAGTTTCAGTTATGCTCTTAGTAATGAATGCGAACCCCTGAAATATCTATTGCGCGCCGATGCACGTGCAGATGGAATCAGACTTGTCTAGAGCGCCCAGCCAGCTACTCCAGCTGGCAATTTCTTCAGAGATATGTAGAGAGAGATGCCGTAATGCTACCAAACATGGTAATACTGCATGTTAGGCCTTTGTGCTGTAATGCAAGCATAAATGGAAGCTTTCAGGTAACGTGAGATTGAAGCCGCGGCCAACAACAGTGTCGACAGGCATGTACTCCGCTGCTCTAGACCAGTAGTGTGATTATATCTGTACAGCACGAACGGCACGTACAAATAAATGGACCTCCGAAATGGCGCGGCGATGGTGTGGCCGCCTTGCGGTCAAGGCTCAGTGCATACCCTTATATGGCCACTCTAGAAAGCAAAGCACTTTTCCCACAGCCTGTTCGCATTGAGAGTACAATTTAGAAGGGTATGCCAGTCGTAAAAAGCGCATGTGCCAGCGATCTCATCCTTAAAGTCAAAGTTTATAACAATGCCCCCTCCCACCCCTTCATGTTCCTAGCTCGATCCTTCCTGTCCATTGGACACGTACAGCCCGTGATGACCAATGGCATTTCCGGAGAGGGGAGGGGCACATCGGGAGCATGCCCCCCCCCCCTCCACCTCCGGAATGTTTTTAGCCATGGCATATATAGCCCAAAATGACCTTTTGCCTGCCCCCCCCCCCCCCCTTCAGATCAAGGTGCAATCCTCCTGCTCAATTTTTGAAAATATCTGGCTACACTCTTAGCAAATTGCAAAAACCAGCCGAGAATGTCCATATAATTGCTATCTCATTAAAAAGAAAATGGATCTTGCCTTCGGGTTGTCTCAGGCAAATGTATAAGGTACCCTGTAAGATTTTATTTTATGCACTAAATTCTAGAGGACAGGGTATGGGGTTTTTGGAGTATATACAGAACGCCCTAGCCACATAAAATATTGCAGCAAAAGGAAAAAAGTTTAAGTTGTGTAGATTCAGCACAGAGATGAGTGGCGGAGGAGGTTGGCTTTCTGAGATCAGCTGAATGACAATCATATTACGCCCAGCAGTTTAATTAGTCATGAAAAAGAAGAACCTTTTTTTTTAAATTTTTGAAGTCATCCTACGAAAACGCACTTGTGACTGTGCGAGTCTCTGGCATTGTACGTCACAGTGTTTGTCTACTATACCTGCAGATAACCACATATGTGTGTTTATATTGTTATTTCATGAAGTAGAATTTTATTCAACCAGTGTTCTGTTTATTTGCTAAGGAAATAATCACCAAACAAGTTTTTTCAGAATGCTCAGTCATTATTCCTGCATCATCAACTGAAATAGGGAGTGCTTCTGAGGTGATTGGCTCCATGAAGTTTGCAACGAATCTAAATATTTATAGCTCTTTATGAGGGCCTTAAAATAATTTTTCATGTCCTTGGATGTAAATACAACTTGCTTCTCCTCCAGGATTTGAAGTTAGCTGCTCCAGGTTGCTCAAAAATGGAAAATTTTGCTGCTCCAAAAGTTGCTCCAAATCGGAAGACCTCGGTAGCATCACTCCGAATTGTATTGCGGCTGTTGCACCCCTGCTAGTATCATGGCTGGCTGTGCATCTCCGAGGCTGTGTCAAGAGGCCACCTCCTGCTGTCTGGAAGTTTGATTCATGTCTCCAAAAGAGTCATAACATTCCTCAGTTCAGCAACAAGTTCAGCATTGATAACAGAGCACCAGTGTCCACCAGAGCAGTTAGCGGATGGCTGTCAACGAGAACAGATATGTCAGCAGAAATGTGTTTGTCATCTATGGAAGACATTGATGGCAAGTGATGATGATATCGACGGTCATTTTCTTCGCGTTAGTAGTGCATCCGACTTGGCTCAAGAGAGGAGGAATGATTCCAAGCTTAAAGAATTTGTTTAATTTATCAAACGCCGCAGTTCGCATTCTCCACTGGCATTTGCAATCATCATTCGGTGTTCGCAACAATATCCTTTATAAAAGGAACTTAATCTTTAGACAATGAAACATCTGCTTCTTACATATTTTGTCTGCCTGTCACAATGAGCCTTCATCTAGCCACTAGGGATTCACGCGTGCCTCGGCCCGGATTCACCGATACTTCTACTGGCCTAAGCTCACACAGGACGTGATGTAAAAATGCGTCGAGAATTCCAGTGCTGTAAAACGCCACCTTTGTGTGCTGCTGGTTTTCTGAGGCCTGTCGCTCCTGCATCCCAACAAATTAGTATAGAGCTGCTCGGACCTTTGCCCTAGTTTGATGATGGCGACCACCGCTAGATCATAGTTACCACTGAATACATTATGCAATGCTGTGTTTACAGCGAGGCACCGCAATTGAGATTGCCCATTTTTTTTAGAAGAACATCCGTCATGAAGCACCAGCAATTGTGACAACCGGTCATGGAACAGCTTTTACTGCCCACATAATGCAAAATGTTATGCAGCCTTTGGAGCTGGTCTTCGGATAACTGCTGAATACCATCCACAAAGCTATGATCTTTCTGAGGGACTAAACAAAGTATGATCGCAGACATGCTATTCTTGTTCGTTGACCGATATCACAAAAACTGGAATGATCTGCTGCCATATAGTATCCTGTTCGCATACTACTCTACGGTTTGAGGCTCTAAGACTCAAATTTTTTCACATTGTGTATTATTTAAAAACAGGCATAGACAGGAACAAATACATTGCACAACTGTTATATATTTTGTGTAGAAGGGACCATGACTTGAAAGCTGACAAATTTCTTTTTAAAGGTGACAAATTTCTATATTCATTCTCTTGTAAGACAACAAGCAAGTGGAATACTCTTCCATCAGTTATTGTAGGAATTAAATATAATGACGACGTTTACTGCGCTTTGCGTGTTGAAATGAATCTACCCTTCTGCTGTAGTGCCTGCTAATGACGATGCAGGTACCTAATAATAAATGAAACTGCTGGGTTCACACCAGTCTAGTTGCTTTATGACAGGAAGGCCATTACAATGCTGGGTACCATGCTCCTACTCGACAGGCTTGTCGTTAATGTCAGTACAAATGAATTCATACCACTCCTTGCGCACCTGCATTGTACCGTTAGTAGCCAGCAGTGTGTCAGCTACCAATGGTATGATCCTCCTCATCATGAGGTTAATTGTAGACCCGCTGACCAAGTGTGGTTGGAAATTGCCAATGGGGCTGGCTATTTCATCACTGTCCCTATAGAGTTATTTGTCGCCTTGGCAAAGTGAACTACGAAGCTGTTCCTGAAAATATAGCTCGTCGCTTTTGTCCTTCACAGCAGGCAGACATCATCCATGTTTCCCGGATGTAGCCATTCTCCCAGCATTGCTTGTTCATCAAGCTCCCTTGCTTGACCCTGTGAACATCATTTCATCATATGTGCTGGGCTGCGTGTGTGTATTTTTTCGCCATTGATGATGTGGTGACGATGCTCTCTTAGAGGAAAGTACCAATACTACGACTATAAGATTTGCGGTTAATCATACACAACTTTACCAGTCCACAGCACTTTCTAGTCAAAGGTGAATGAACTGTGCCATGCACCAATGGGCTCACGCTCTAGACTAACGTCATGAGTTGAATGGCTGGTGAACGCGCCCTCATAGAACATGGCCAAGTGCACAAGTAGGGCTATTTCTTAAGTTGCAAAGATGACCAGCTGTTGTGCTTTGGTCATCTAGAAGGGGCCTCTCGATACCTCTCAAGTTGCATCGATCTGTTAGCCCCGAGAATGAACACTGGCGTCACGGCGATGTTACGGCACGGATTCGCATGCTCTGCCAGCGCTTGTCGCCTTTTTTTTGCGCTAGTCGTGTACTTGCTCTTTAGCGATACATTGGTGATTATTAATCAATTTCGTGACACAAATTTCTCTACATACAAAGTGCAAGGTTTCACAACTCGTGAATGTTTCAAAATCTGTAAAAAATTTCCATAATTTAGCTTAGCATAGGCAGACTCCTATCCGAACGGAAGATTTATGTGAACATGGTGATGTACAAGTAGATGTTAGTTTTTTTTATCGGGTACACCACAGAATGGGTGCTAAGAAGTATGCTAAGCCATACTAAAGTTATGACAACTAGGCATAGACTCCGGTATAAGAATATGTCTGCGCCGAAGTATGAAAAATTGAAATTGGAACATTTTCAATTCACTAAATTGTGCTTTAATGTGCAAGTTACGCCTGCATCTGTGAATTCTCTATATTATTTCACAGAACTGCGCTTTCTCCAGCTGGAGGTATTACATGAACATGACTGTCATTAGCACTCACATAACATATTCATCAAATAAAATAATACTGCTGCACACACAACGATTTGGGAAATAATAAGATATTTCCGTTCACTGGGGATCATATGTGCAGGTTTCTTCCCAACAGTCGCCAGGGATTATGTAGTCCTATACCCTGATTTGCGTGAAATGCTGGAGTATTCTACCGCCGTGTCACGAACGCTAATAAGAGCTTCACATGGGAGCACCGCTGATAGCAACGATTTCAACACTAACGTCAAAAAGTCAAAATGAACTCTCTCTATGGCGCACTTACGGACGTGGCCCAAGCAGTGGCGCAACTAAAGGATGGTTCACCGGGTCTGTCCCCTGCGTCCCAAAATTTTTCCCCATGCAGAAAGAAAAATGACCATTTCATAGGGTCCCTGTCCGTAGCTGCGTGGGTTCCTCTGCTAAAATTTTTCTAGGGGAGGAGAAGCCCTGATATCCCCGAAAAGAATCACCCATGCACATCTAAACCTCATCATGTTAGTATGGTGTCTTAATTCCGTCGCAAAATCATGTGATTATGCGTCAATAAGTTTGTTCTATACAAACAGAAGTGTGCTCTTGATTTTCACACCCGTCAGAATGCGGCTGTCGTCGCCACGAATGGAATCCATCATCGGGGTTGGCAGCGTGACACAGTCCCTTTCACTCATCTCACATTGCTATACGACCAAACGCGTGATTTTGGTAGAAGCAAAATTAAACTTTTTATTATTTTACCTGAAACATTACTGAATCTGTTTTCTTCATTCATGTGCAGCTTGAAACAAGCAAAAAGCAAATGTAAACATTGGAACAGCGCACGAAGTGAGCGCATCGTTATGTAGGCGCGCCGCGGCTTGCATGGAAGAGTCTGTGCCATGACGTCATCGGCCAGGCGGCACCACTCCGACTTCTCGGGGCTAGCAGTATTGTTGCTGACAGGTTTGCATGTGCGACTGTGGGAAAGAAGATGGAAGCCGAGCTATGTATAAAAGACGATGATGCATTGCCAGTTATTGAACCAGCCTCATGACCTGCTGTACCGATATAGTTGCAGGTTTCTGTTACAGTATAACAGACAGTAACATTTTTTTCTTTTTAAATGCAAATTTCCCAGCAATCTCACTCACAGAAAAAAGACCTGTTTGTGCCTCTTGTATGCATAAATTAAGAAAACTCAATCTGGTGTGTTGCAGATGCAAAGCTTACACAACATTATTATGTTTCCCCTGGATAATTTGTTGAAAGGAGACTTGAAAGGCGTTAAAGGAGTGAGTACTTACACATATGGCTTTCATTTCAATTGTACCAAGTGTGTTTGATGCCTTCTTTGCATTTCACCCTCATGTGAGGGAAACTTGAATGGAACAAAGTAACTCTAATAAATTAAGGATTTCTCTGTGTGCTCTGCATTTGCTTTTTCTTTGGGCATAAATGGTGCTGGCTCATTTTGTGCCGTTAATACGTTGTTAGTTTCACAGATTGTTGAAAATACTTGGCCGTTTCTTTGTATTTTAAATCATACGTGGGCTAGTTTCATAGCATGGTGTTCTGGTGGATTCTGTAAATGGAATATGGAAATTAATGCAGAAAAATCAGTCTCTATGAACATTACTGAAAAAAAGTTGAAATACTATTGTTTTCCCATAACATCGCTTTCAAAGAAGTTACTCAATATAAGTATCTATGTGTTACTCTAACAACTTATCCTGCAATACGCATGCTTGTAATATCTGTAAGTACGCTTTTTGTAAGCTTTGCTTTTTAAGGCACAAATTTAAACTGGGTCCCTTCAACACTTGTCTCGCAGCTTACTACTCGCCATTCCGTCTGTAATTAGAATATGCCTGCATTGTGTGGGATCCTTACACCAAACATAACACTGACGCATTAGAAATGGTACATCACAAAGCAGTTAGATCTTTTTTTTTTTTTTCAGATACCGTTCAGCTCACTCCTCAACAACCTTGATTCTAGCTAATAACTTTCTAACATGGCAACTACAATGTAAAATTTTAAGACTAAAATTCCTGTTTTCACTGAAAAATAACCATTTATTCCTTAACCCACAATCTTTTATAAATGCGCTTGAAGCACGTCGGACAAGGCATTGCCATGCTCAATCCCTAACACCTATAGCACTCAAACTAACTTGTTTAAGTAATCATTTTTCCTGCATACAATAACAGGCTGGAACAGCTTACCTTGTGAATATTGTGGAGTCTCGCTATGAAGCAAATGCTCTTGGAACACAGACACAGTTGATGCAGTCGGAACGAACGAAACAACACACATACATTTAACTACTTTAAAAATGACATCGCCAGCCGAATTAATATACATCACTTGTGATCAGCACGCTAAAACAACCTTACACAATATTACACAGCACTCAACAGCATAAACACAAGAACACACGCAAGGCAGCACTGCTAACGCTAGACTTGTCACAAGATCCTAGGGCAGACGACCCGCCGCAAGAGACAACCGCTCGCTCCATCCGCCACACGCAAAAGAGGGCCGCTCATCTATGATGCGCTGCCACCCAGGGTTGCTGCCAAATGTCACTGCCGGCGCGACCACGCTCACCATGATGATGATGGTGGTAATAAATGCTCGCAAGCACAACACCATTTGCTGCTTGATAGTTGTGACCCCTAAATGCGGCTTCTGCGCGAGACACGTGCGCCATGAGGTGCTAACAACTTTACAGGAGGTGTTAGAACTTCCATCACATGTGTCTAATTTTGATGCTATTTCACAATGAAGTTGATAAGTGTTTTATGTTTTTCGTCTCCTTTTTTGTTTTATTTTTCTTATTGCTCTGAACATGTATATGCTTTGTTTATATGCAAAATTTTGTATAGCCATCCTTATTTCACTCCATACTTACAATGTTGGTTCCCTTTTTTACATTTTGTACTTTTTTCCTCATGCTCCTCCTGTTTGAGCTTGCAGTATGTCATAAATAAATAAATAAATAAATAAATAAATAAATAAATAAAAAGGTAGGCACACAAAAATGGACACAAGAAAAGAGAGCAAACATTTTGATAATTTTACCTTCCTTGATCATGAATATTTGGCAGCTAGATAAATGCCAGCTTTTGAGTTTACCACAGCCAGGAACATTGAGGATGCCAATTCCTTTTTTCACTCTTGTTTTGTCTGGCTTAATATTTTCTTTTGGCATTTTTATTTGTTCTAGTTTAACCTACTATCTGAAGACAGCAAAGTGCACAATCACCAAGGCCCTTTGCTGTGCATTCGCACTTACACAAAAAATTGTATTTTGCGCACATTTCTTGTGTTGCAAAATTAAATTACAGGATCTCAAGAGGCCATTTGACAAGGCATCTCGGGATTATGAAGTCAAGGCGTAAGTCCATTGCAATTTCACGGATTCTATGTTGCATAGATTTTAGTTGCTAATGTGCTTAAGATTGTTATATTTTTGCGGTAGCATCATTCGTTATTATCAGGAAAATTTGACGGGTATTTGCACTGCAATAGTAGCCATAGGCAATTACCGTCTCCAGATGTTTTTATATTTAGTGATCTCTGCAATTTATACCTTAAAACCTCGGCGATACAAACCTTGCAGAGTCACAAAATATATTTGTATTATTGAAAACAGGGATAATTAGTATGCAATGAAAGAAAACTGGCGTACATTTTTGTTTATCGGCCACGCCGTCATAGACATGAAGATGTAAAGATTTTACATGACTGTGATCGTACTTGCGAATATATGACTTATGTGCATGCGTAATCTGCCTTTTGCATTTTCCTGTCCTGTCCTCTGGTGTTTTGGTAGGAGCCAGGAGAATCGGCATTGCCTAGAACACCGAGACGGAGGCTCGTTTTGCGACTTTCTCACTAGGGAAGGGCGCATGCGCCACGGCATCGTGGAAAAGGCAGATTGGGGGACCATAGCCACTTGCTAATCTTACTCTAAATTTATGAGCCACCTTTCAGGCTTGCTTGGAATAGTGCCAAAATTCAACATAATGGAAATATTTTCTGTCGTGAAGAAAAAAAAAAACAGTTTGCATGTCAGAAGTTTCCTCACTCTCATTCGTGGCATGGTGCATTACAACAGCTCACAAACATAAGAAGCTCAAACAAAATGGGATCAGCCAACGAGAAGCATAGCATGGATGCAGGTCCGATGATTAGCCAATGCAACAGCTCTTAACAGAAACAGATCTCGGAGGCCATACTTTTGCCTACGACACATACCAACATGGGTCTTGCTACTACCATAGGTATGGTGCCAAGTTCAGGGTGTGATCACTGTGCGTAGATAGTTACTACGCTCGGTCTGAAGTTCGCGCTGTTACACTTCGCCGCAAAACACCTGAGTACTCTGATAAGAAGGACTTGTAAAGCGTGTGACGATGAAGGCCTGAAAATTTTACAAGGGCTTTCTCTTGTCATTATTGTTCTCTTTTCGCCATCTGGTTGCTGCTGTCTTTTAGGAGATTGGCTGCCATGCCCGCACAATTTGGAGGTTTGCTCAAAATTTGGTAGTCTCCTAAGCAATGCAGGAGAGTTGGCAGGTGGCAATGCAGTCGGTGTTGACATTGTGAGCCCAAGACTAGCTGGTCCCCCTTTCATTGTCCTTTTTTTGTGGGATTGCAAGGACATCGCTTGCATTGACATGGCAGGCAGGTGTAAATATAGTACAACAATGTGTTCAGCAACATGCGTCAATGTGCTGAAAAAAAAAAAAAAAAGTGCGATGCTAGTACTCTCTGAAGGCACGTGGGGGCTTGGCATGTGCTGCGATGATTGTATCACCGAGCTGTTACTTACAGTAAAGAGCTGTCGTTTCGCATTCCCTTGTTCATGTTGTGTCTATTTTGTCCACTTGTGAGATGTCCCTGAGAGCTGTGATTCACCATCAGGTCTAAAATAGAGAAAGAGAAGAAACAGCAGGCCAAAGAGGCTGGCCTAATACGGACGGAGATATCACCAGCCGAGGTACGAGCTGTTGTTTTGCGCCACCCACTTTTTTTCATTCCTGCGTCTTTTTTTATCAGATTGCCGATGAAATGGAGAAAGAGAGAAAGATGTTTCAGCTGCACATGTGCGAGGTGAGTGTCCAGGTGCATGTTTTCATTTGTCATTAGTCAGGTTTGTCTCATTCACACATGCATGGAAGCACCTGGTGTTTCATTTCAATGCAAATAAAGAAGGACTTTATTTTAGATAGAGTTGAATCGTCCTTCACCACCTGAGTGCAGTCGACTACCGCATCACACGTCTCAGCATGACAGACGTCACACATGTGGCTGGCCTGAAACCTTTCAGTAGGCGAGACGCTGCATGAAATGTGCGATGCGCTTCATCTGCGAGGGTGGAAATTTGTATGTGCTGAAGAAGAAAAAAGTGTAGAGAGTGAAAGAAGTCTTAGCTGCTTGGTCCCGTATGGGCTCGCCACCCTAGCCTTTTACCAGTAAACCTCAAAAATCTACTGGGGACGTAACAATATTCCAACGAAGTGCTATTTGGTGTAATGTGAATAATATGGTACTTGGGCTGTATTATTATATTTAGAAAAGTATTAAGTGCAATTCCAATAAAGGAACATAGGCCAGACAGCTTGATAATATGTTGCTCACTCCAATTACATTTGTAGATTCCTTCTTCCATGTTTTTCTGAACAAAAATCAACTGAGTGTCAGCAGATGTCCCATGAACTTTTGTTGGTGAATGCTGTACAATCACATGATGCACATGGCTGTCTAGGCCATCACTTTCGCAATGCTACCATATTACTAGTGAACATGCACAAGGACTACTGAGAAAGATGCAGGTCTGGTGCCAAGCAGTTGTCTTGTGTCTAGTGGTGGTCGCTAGTAGCCTGGAAGTGTTAACTTGGTACCAAATATCTCAGTTAAATGCATTCACCAACTTGCAATGCTAGCTTCCAGATAAGTATGTAGATAAGTTGTAATACAACCTGTTCATGTAAGTACATTTACCCTGTAGTACCTGATCAAAGTGAATGAAATCAAGACCAAGAAAGGGGTTGAACTGTTGCAACACCTGGTCGAGTTCTACCATGCACAGAACAAGTGAGTATTGAACTTTGTTGGGATTGGTTCACAGTTCTTTAAATCTGGTAAATAGATGGTCATCAGGGAGGAGAGGCGTTTGCGCCTGTTCAATACACATAAACCTAGCAATGCCCATGTCCTGCAACGCCATCAACTGGGGATCTTTTGATAAACAATCTACCATGATGATCTAGTGGTTACAACGCTCAACTGCTGACCCAAAAGTGTCAGGTCCTTTCATGAAAAAAAAAAACATAAGCAAAACAAAGAAAGAACATCTCATTTGTTTCTTTTTGCATCGCAGGTGCATTAGCTCTGAATTTTTTGTGACTAATATGAACTTTGGTTGCAAGTTGAGCGTCCTTTCTGTGAGTGCATTCATCGGAAAGGTTAATCATCAGCGAATCTCTGCTCTTCAGCATAGCAAAGTACATCCGTAGTGTCTTTTTATGTGAGCTTATCAACATATACAGTATAGACCGCTTATAACATAAGTAGCAGGGGTCGTGAATATCCGCACTGCGGTACTGTGCTATAACCAAAACAACATTTATCAAGGGCCGCACTTGCGCAAAACATGTTGAGTATGCAGTTTCTTATGTCTGAGAATCGAAAAATGCAATGCGTGCTTCCTAACACTTAAATTTTTGAATGATGAAAGAATTTAACGTCCAAAGACACGCGTTGCCAACTAAATGAATGCGAAAAGAGGGGGGTGAGGGCTGTCTAACCATTGCAGAAATTCGCCCACTACCAGACCGCCTCGATTATGCGCATTACACAGAAGCTATGTCGAATCACGTTCAGTATTCGACGCTTTGAAAGACGCCCACCATTCGATTTCACAGGCGCGCACCAGACATCGCAATTGAATCGCGAACCACCATTTGAGCACTACATGTGCCGCCCTAGTTTTCATTCAACGATATGTATCCCTTCCCGTCAAGTGTGGTCACTGCAAAGTTTCGTTGATTCATTACCAAATGGCAACTTAGATTCACGCGACCGCTACCAATCGAAGCGCAGCCAACACCGATTAGGCCTAGCTTGGCGTTTGGTATGTTGTCGCGGATAGCTTGTTCAAAACATCAGGATTCGGTGTCAAAAAGATCGCACTAGCAGTGAACCAAAAAACACGTGCGTGATACGAAGATCGCGTTTGCGGCCGGGAGATCAGCAACGACGGTGGACAACTTACCACACTTACGTACGACAGCACACTGGAAGCTCGCGTCATAAAACCGTAAAAGGTTTTCAATATATGGAGACAAAGCAAACACGATAATTGTTGCAAGCACGATAACGACGACGCCTTTCTCGACAGGAAACCGTTAAGCCCATGTAGTTCATAAGACGATAGTTATAGCGCGAGAACAGAACGACGACACAAAGAGATGAGAAGGATACGGGTGCTCGTGTCCTTCTTGTCTCTTTGTCGTCGTTCTATTCTCGTGTTACAACCATTGCCATGTCATACCAACTAGCCCAAACTGCCACACATCTAAGTAGTTGATAAGGACGGGATCGCACGTGCCATGTTGAGCTGCGCGCGGCTGAAGTCAGGCTAGCGACGTAGTACACTGTAGCCGCGTCAGCGATGCTGCAAAGGCTTATCGGTCACCGAGGCAACCGTCTTCCTCCGTTACTCGGCAAGCCCGCGCAGTGCCCGTGATATTTTTTTTTTCATTTTCTATTCCTTCTCTTCGCCCATTGTTCGTTCACTCCGTGTTTCCTCCTCCTCTGTAACGACCTCGTCGTTCGCCCTCCAGCGGTGCACCCAGTGCTACTCGCTACTCACAAACGATTTCGGGCTGCAGCATTATAACCGGTCTTTCATCTTGGGGGACTGCACAATAAGTGGTATGCTATACATGGGATTATATGGGAGGGTAAACGGGAGTAGAAAAAAAAACCACATTGTAAGCGGTTCTGCACTATAAGCGGTTACGTTATAAGTGGTCTACACTGTACTTTGATATGTGTAAAGCATCAATTTCCTCACGTATATGTCTTTTTTTTTGTAGCTTCTTTCAGGATGGACTGAAGACTATTGGTCACTTCAATAATTACATTATAGAACTCTCAAGCAAGCTGCAGAAGGTCAGACAGAAGCAGGACGAGGAGCGTAAGAAACTCATTGAGCTTCGTAATACGCTAAGGAGTTCCCCCTCTCTGGATATCAAAGATGTGAGTATTGCTTTCTACTTATTTCATATTGAACAGCCACGAAACAGGGTCTGTGGAATAGTAATTTGTTTAAAAATACCTTGGCTTAGTTCTTCATTAGCGGAAACCTGAGAAGTGCAAACGATGAATACGAAACTTATTATTTGAAACAAAATCATGATAGGCCCGCGCATCATTTTTGCATGGTCGTCGTTTCAAATAAATGTCAGTTGTAAGTGAAGTACCAGTCCTGTTGTACGTGTTTCGTCATTTGCGTTTTTCTAGTTTCCTCTGGTAATGTCAAGGCTCGTGTTCGATGCAGATAGTGATTTGTTTAGAATAACTTTGAAATTGATTTACGATAGTATATATCACATATTTTAAAGAAAAATGAGCATATGTTTCATCACCCGACTGACCTGCACAATATTTTTTTTTAGTTGAAAAAAAGGCATGTGCAAATGGTGTTTTTCTTTTAGCTCAAAACAATTTGACTTTCGGGAAAATGCAACTGGTAACCTATAAAGTATGTTACTTAAAATTTCTTATACTTGCAGTATATAAGCCGTTATAGCAAGCTTTTGTACCGTTAAAAAATGATGAATCGATGTGAGGGAAAAATGTTCATTTAACCTAGAAGCGGGGCTTTGCGGCAGTGCGGATTTTCTTGGAATAGTTGTTTTTACAGCATAGTCTTCCTCCACTGCAATGAAACCACCTTTACAGGGGGTTAGAAGGGGACTAATAAGCACATATTTGTTCATTTCAAATATGTTGAAATTTAAAATGGCTCAAATTTTAGTCAAAACAAATTCGAGTGCAGTAATATCTGTTTGAATATTCAATAATATGCACACATTCGTTCACATCCATTACAAATTTCCAATAATTTAAATTCAAATCAAGGTAAATTTCAGCACATTAATATTTGTTTGAATATGCAAAGAGTTGGAATATTTGTACAAGCCTATTAATGTTAGAGCGGGCTTTTAATATTGCCAGTGGGTTATGCGGAGTACTGGGAAATGCCATATGAGTCTGAAAAAGGGTAATGTACAACCACCCATTTTTAGCACAAATCCACAAGGTAGTCTATGGGGATTTCTCAGAAAGAAAAACTTCTAGTTAAAGAAAAATGCATCTTAGTCTGTGGATTGAACTTGTGGTTAGTTTTTGCGGCTGTTGACTATAGTCGGTGACAACCTAAGAATAAATATGAGCTCCACCCACGAGGCCTCATTGCTCTTGTTTTTCATGCCTCTGCACTACAAAGGAAGTCGTTCCCAAACAGTGGCCCTATTTTCACACATACAACCATTATCTTAGAATACTTCATTGGTATTGAAATCAAGAATCCGAGGCTTGATAAATAAACTTGAGAAGGCACGGACTTTCACGTCAGCTTAGCAATACGGGCCACTACCTTCAATGTATATGTCTGTGCAAAGGTGTGTCTGTGCAGGCAAGAGGGTTTTCTCTCTCTCCAGAAAATGCGAGTCAATTGCGTTACAGACTTTTTTTTCGTCTTCTTGTCCTCTTCTCATGGCTCTTACCCAATCACAGGGGAGTGCAATGCATCCATATTTTTTTCATGGTACTCTAATTTAGTATAAACGAGTTATCTCTATGCGTAATAAATGCACGCCATACAGGCAAAATCAAAAATGTGTACACATAGTAAGGTTTCTTAATAAGATATCGTTAAGGATGGTACAATGCCTCAAAAACCAAATCTTTCACTTTTTTTCGCTCAATAAATGTTTTAGCAACGTCGCTTCAGTAACGATCACGAGCAATGTAACTGATAGTGATCGTATCGCTGCGTCGATCGCGATCAAGGCAGCAATATTAAATATCTCATGTCATTTTCCGGTTTGAAGAATCTCGCACATTGTTTTTCATGCCAGGCGTTCGTGCATCGAGCGTGAAAATGCGCTTATGCAACTGACCCTTCAATCTGGCATGTAACTATGAGCCAATGGCAATGAATTTCGTTAAAATGATGCAACTGTGCTGATTGGCGCTTGCATAATAATCGCACACACCCGATGACCCCAATTCGCTTTGTAATGCATACACCGATGCACATTTTCTCCACCTGTTTTGTTTACTTTCGTACAGTGTCGCGCTAGCAGGTTCTCTCGGGTGCTTTTTTCTCACACCTCGCCCACACTTACATCACTCATATAGGTGCGCAACACAGCTCATATTGCAAAAGATCACCAAGATCTTGTGACACCAAAGGAACACACTCACTCAAGCATATGGGGCAACGCTGATGCCATGGCTTTAGCGGGCGGCTAATCACAGACGCGCACACTCTACGAAACACAGGCGTGCATATTCAGACTTCACCTTCACCTGATGACCGCGACGACAATCGTTGGGAGTAGTCACCCTCAGGCGATATTTACTTTACTTTTTATTTTTTGCTTGTCACCGACTATAGTATAGGCATCGATATTCTAAGAAAATAACGACTATGCTCGTCGTCAACTAAACTTAGTCCAGCACAAAACAAATGAAGAAAGTTAGGTGACGCAAACCACTGGGAAAAAATAGACTGAGCATCAACTCGCAACTAACTTTATTCTTGCGAACTCTCTGCAATATATCCCCCATGCCCACATGCGCAATAACACACCATACATCACATCGCACAGTCGGGCACTCTCAACGCACGTACTAGTTAAGAAACCTGTAAAAAAATAATAACACAGTACCAACTATGTATTGCTCAAACAGATATCTTCTTTCTAATTAGTATGCTTCGAGGTATGCTTCGAGAAGCAAGGAGCTTAATCAGCTCCTTGCTTATACCTAAAATGGTGATATTAGCAAATCTTGCCTCACATCCACTTGTGCTGAAGTGCATGGGCAAATCTGCCAAAAAATTATTCTTTATCAAAATATCACGCTCCCTCGCTTGATCGTTTATGCTTCGGCCAGTCCGGCCGATGAAAGCCCTTTTACAGGAGATCGAAGTTTTGTAGACCACTCCGATCGCACAGGTGATGTAGGGCCTTGCCTGCCTCTTACCACAAGGGACATGCACTGGTTCACTTGAAATCTTGGGGCACAGGCCGAACAGTTTTCTTGGCGCACAACAGGTACATAGCATCGGTTGGCCACCTCTTTGAGGTTGTGTGCAGCTTTATGGGTATACGTGACAACTAGTGGTTCTTTTTTTTTCTTTTTATGGAACCTTTGACAATCCCTTTTTTTACATTCAGCCTTTTGTTTTAGTACAAAATAAGAACATTTGTGTTGGTACTAAACAAAAACTAATATTCTTGTCCCACCAGTAAGTTTTGCTAAAGACTATACTGCTAGATAGCCACACATGTTGGGAAACATTTGGAAATGCTTGTGCAAATCAAGCTGAACCCTCTTTGTAAGTCTCCAGGTTTCTGCTCCGTAGCTAAGTAACTTACAAACAGACTTACAAAGAGGGTTCAGCTTAAATTGAGGACGATGCAGCGAGCAATGGAAAAAAAAATGGTAGGTGTAACCTTAAGAGACAAGAAGAGAGCAGAGTGGATTAGGGGACAAACGGGGGTTAAGGATATCATAGTTGAAATAAAGAAAAGGAAATGGACATGGGCCGGGCATGTAGCGTGTAGACAGGATAACCGCTGGTCATTAAGGGTAACTAACTGGATTCCCAGAGAAGGGAAGCGGGTTAGGGGGAGACAGAAGGTTAGGTGGGCAGATGAGATTAAGAAGTTTGTGGGTATAAATTGGCAGCAGTAAGCACAGGACCGGGTTAACTGGCGGAACATGGGAGAGGCCTTTGTCCTGCAGTAGACGTAGTCAGGCCGCTGCTGCTGATGATGATGATGTGCAATTCAAGCATGAGCCAGTACTTGAGGTGCCTTGATGAACTCAAACCCCGCAGGGGCTTCTGCGCAAGCAGGCGTTTGGTGCGTAGCGACACCGTGGACCCAAGCTAGCGGGAGGGTTTCGACTCCCTCTTATGCCTAATCGTGGGTGGCTGAGCTGTGTTCGGGGGAAAAGGGGATTCGGGGGGTCGAGCCTGAGCCAATGCCGGGTGGTTGGACCTTTAAGGACTCCCGGCGGAAGCAACCCACCCTTCTGGAATCGGCTTCAGATCGATGGCACCCCTGGGCTGACCCACCCAGTAGAAATTGGCAGTCGCCTTTTCCTATCTCTCTCTCTCCCTGCATCTTTGTCTATCTCAGTTTTTTTATTTTTTCTGCCTACTTCTCTTTTCTGTTTACTTCCAGTTTTTCTCGGCCGCAAGGGTTAACCCTGTGCAAATAGCCTACCTTGGTCTAGGACCATTGGGTTATAGCTGTGTTGTACGGCTGACGTCTGCAAGCTTTCAGCATTCGCAAACTTGAAGCGTTCCCTCGTTGGCCAACGCTGCTGAACAGCATAAAACCGGCATGCATAAAGCATTCCCCTTGCTTATCGATCGTGCCTCCTCGAAGAGAGTACACACCAAAGACTTCAATTTTTTTCAACCGACCAAGATAAATATTCCCTCACTTCCATGTTATACGCTGTGAGAAAAGTAATAAGCAAGCCAGAACTGTATCCCCCTTTGTAGTTGCTAGGTGTCTAACAGAAACTCTAGGTGCCGTGTACTAGGTTACCAAAATGGCCAGCAGAGATCTGCTTCTTGAGGCACAGGAGAAAGACGAATTGGAAAAGCTGGACTCTTTTTACAAATTTTGGTGACATACCAATTAGTATTATAATGCACTGGTCTATGAACACAGCTCGCGGGATGGTATTGGATACAAAATTTCTTTACCTGTCCGAAACTGAACTTCTGGAAGGACAGAAGAGCCAGAACGTGACCAACCTACAGCAGATTACGATAAGAAGAAACAATAAGGAAACACCAACAAAATGCATATTATTGACGCTTGCTTTGAGCGATCTGCCTGAAACTATTCAGACTCGTCGCTGTTTCCAATGTTGGAGATATGGCCACGGCTCCCAAAGCTGTCATGGTCGGCAAACTTGTGCACAATGTGGAGTCTCAGACCACA